TTTTTTTTTTTTTTTTATCATAACAAGTAAAAAGGTCCCTTTTTCATTTTTTTCTGCAATTACTATTCACATGAACAGTGGTGGTACTGTTCAAAAGAAAATTCTCTCTTTTTTTTAAAGCAAGATTTCTAAAAAATAAAGTTTCCAATGGATGATAGACCTTTTTCTTTGAATGTTTTGAAATATTGTTTTTCGCTCTAGTCGATTTGAATAACGCGCAACTAAAAGGCTTCCAGATGAGGAGGGGGGGTCACAAATGGACCGCTTAAATCCCAAGTTCCTCTTAGACAGTTTAGGTCTTTTTGACAAAATTTTTCAATTTTGCGACTACGCAAATCAAGAAAACTCATACAATAAATCGAACGTGAAATGTTCTTAAAATACGAATTTTCAAATTGATAAATTTTAAAAACATAACTAAAGGCTAAATCTAAACACGTGAATATTTATCACATGAAATTTAAACTATGAGCATGGAACTATAACAATTTAAACTATAAACTACTATTGTTCGAATCAATCTAAACAAACATTTATTTTTCCAATAAATATTTTTTTTCCAATGTTTATTACTAATAATAGAAATTAAATGTTGAAGATTTGAAGTAGAATGTAGAAAATAGAAAATTAGAAATGTAGAATTGAGAAGTGAATGAAGATTATGTAGCTGTGTATAAAATGAATTGTAAAAGTAAAATTAAGATAATAATGTAAAAAAAATGTAGAAGATGAAAATGATAATAGAATGAATGAATGAATGATATTGTTGAATGTTGATAATTTGTAAATTGTAGAGAGTAGAGTAGAGAATGAGAGGATTGGTGAGAAGAAATGTTGATTAGGGGGTGGGTATTTACAGAGAAAAAAATGAAAAAAAAAATTTCAATGACCAAAACTGTCACTGGAAAAAATAAATTCAGTGACAGTTCTGGTCACTGAATTTCGTTTTTTTTTTTTTTATAAAATACAACGAGCCCACGAGCAGAGCGGCTCGTGGACTCGTAGACGAGCCACTCGTCTACAGTACGAGTCGAGCAGGCTCGGCTCGTCTAGCTCGCTCAGCTCGTGCTCGGGCTCGTCTTTTGACGAGTTCAAGCGGCTCGTGGGCTGCTACAATACGAGCCGAGCGGGCGAGCTGACGAGTCGTTCGATTCGATTGCCACCACTCGGCCACCCCTTTTTTTTTCAAAAAATTTCAGTTAATTAATTATTAGTTTTAGTTCATTAATTTTTTAAAATTCTTTACGGGGCGAGTTCTTTTGCCCCATTAGGGTAGGGTAGGGTAGGATTGGGTTGGGATGGGGCGGGGCACTACTTATTGATGTCATATATATATATATATATATATTACTAAATTTAACAAATTATTGTTAAATTAAACAATTTATTGCCGTATTAAGATTGAGTGATTATGAATTAGATACATTTATTCAATCATACATTTTTGAGACAGGTTTATTAAAATATAATATGGGTCTATATAGCAAAATTCCCATTTATACATCTTGCAAAAGAGCTTTACGAGAAATCTACTTCAATTATTGTTTGAAAATTAATTTCTGGAAAAAAAATTTATATTTTTGGATAAACTTTTAGAAGAAATTGCATTGAGTTAGCTTACTCTAAAAGTTTTTCTAACTAAAAATTCACTTTTATAATAATAATTAAACGAGTTAAAAAACAACTACTAAGTTTCAAGTTTTTTTTTTTTTTTTTTTAAATTTTTGACTTTTCAAAAATCAAGAAACTTGATTATATATGTACTCTATTATTTACTCACTGTATGTATTTGACCTACATTTTGTCATCTCATATATTATTACGAGTTATATAAAAACTCGTTCTTATTCTAAGGAAACCTGATAAATTTTTCTCAATTTGAGGGTGATATGTTCAATATCAACTCATTAATTCGAGTTTTAAAAAGTCTAAAAAAATACATAAAACTACAATTGGAAAAATGTTCCAGCTCTGCTTCTCTTAAAACCAGAAAAAGAAGGGACAAAAAATAAAAATAAAAATGGTAATGGCTTAAATCACCTAATGTGCACGCGCTTAATAACACGAGGTGGCTGGTGGGTGTAGTAATTTCATTTCTTTCTTGGTCTTTCCCTTCACGTTAAACCAAGAACCTTTAACGCCAACAATAAGAATTTCGGGTAAAAATTTCCCTTTTCTTTCCTACATTCTCTTGGAGAGACAGGAAGGAAAAGAGAGGAAAAATCAGAATCAAAATGTGGGTTTTTTATTTGATATCGCTGCCATTAACGATGGGGATGGTGGGTATAACGCTATGGTACTTCGCCGGACCAGACGTGGCTCGCTATGTCCTCTTCATTGTCGGTTACACCTGGTTTTGCTCCCTTTCTATAATCATCCTCGTACCCTCCGACATATGGACCGTACGTTGTTTAATAATGTTACTATGGTTGTGTTTTTATTTGATACTTTGTAGGATCTGTTTTTGATCACTTGTGTTTTATGGTGCATTTTGTTGTGGTGTTTTGGATTATGATTGCCCCGAATACGCCTGCTGATCTCCACTTTTAGTTGTTTTTTAATAGCAATAGTATTGTGGATTGATCGTTGACATGTTCCTTGGCTGCTGAAAATCATTGCTTTTGAAAAAGATGATTTTCAAATTTTGATGGATTACCGAGCTGTGCGTTTGAAGACTATACGGTTTAGATTTCGGATTCTTATTTTTTTAAACAAAACTGAATGGTTGCCCTTTGATTAAATTTTAAGGCACATATAAATATTAAATAATCAGTTGACATTTGATCATTTGGGGGTACAACAGGCCTTTTTGGATGAACATAAGGTACAATTTAGCCTAATAGTCTTGTGTGAGCTAAACTAGTTTAACCAACTGACCACTAACTTAAGCTAATAAATAAGATTAGATCCTGATGTACATTTCTGGTGATTGAAAACAGTACTGGTTTTACTGTGGAAATAGCAAACATACATGCTAATGCGTAATTTCTTTTATACGACATTGTATGAAGTTATTTCTTTGAACATTCATTTTTATATTGGTCCATATAACTAGTAATATTTTGGTAAAATTAATGGAAGGGTTTTATTACTGACATTTCAAAATTCTGAAAATCGATATCCTTGAAGAGTTGTAGCACTAAACTCTACTATTTAATTAATGAATTTAATTTTTTTGTAAACCTTGAGACATGGCTCTTATGATAATCCAAAAATATTTAGAAATCTTTGGCATATAGACTGAATTCAAGAAAAAAAAATGTCTATTTAATTACAGAACTGTCTTTGCTGTGAATAATACTTTATGACTGTATCCACAGTTTCCAATTCTTAAAGATAGAAGCCAGACTAATTTCTCAAGTAGACTTATAATATATATTGCTGTGACATTCTCTTCATTTATGACTCCTTTATGCTCTGTGATGTGAGGTACTGTTTGGCTCATTAACTCGATATAAACAGGACTCATATCATTCTTTAATTTCTGAAAATTCAACTCATGGGAAATGTCAGTATGTCACTACATCCATCATTGTTTGGTTTGATCTAACAAAATTTTGTTGAAAACTTTTGCACTTCACACAGACAGTTGTTAATCATGACAAGGGAGGAATCTCTTTCTTCTGGAGCTGGTCATATTGGAGTACATTTTTACTTACTTGGTATGCTGTCAACTCTTTTGGTACTTTTGCAGGCCTAATTTTTCCAGTATGTCTTGCATAGCAGTTAGCATGCACCAAATTTTCTTGGTGTGTTATTGGCTCTACAGTTTTTGATCTGTGGTTTAGCAACGTACATAAGGAGTCTTTACAGATTAAATATGGCTCTTTTAAGTTTGTAATCCTCACCGTAGTCAGTAGACATCATTTCTGCGATCATTCTTGTTACAATTTCTCTTAAATATCTGAGCAAAAATATTAACTTTAGCATGTTGTTTTTTCGGTTGTCATTCTAATCTCTTTATGACATCTATCATTTATAATTAGAGCTAAAAAATAAATATATGATATATTAATATGTTACAAAATCTGTATGGGTTTGATTCTGAATTGGGCAATCAGTATCCAAAAAACCTGATGCAATAACCTATATTTTTGGGATTTTATATGCTTCTGGATGTCGGTTTAGTAGACTTTGGAACCCTTGTGTTTGAGGTAATCTTGTAACTGCTTGGATTAAATAACCACGTATACTCATAGTATATTTCTCTAAGCAGGGTTGTGGTGCCTATACTTCAGGGTTATGAAGATGCTGGGGATTTCACTGTTACTGAAAGATTGAAGACTAGCGCTCATGTAAATCTAATCTACTACTTTTGTGTTGGTTCTATTGCACTCTGTGGACTTGTTCTACTCATCTTTCTGCGCAAGAACTGGTTTGTTTCTTTCCCACTGAAACATTTTGCTCTCTGATGTAAATTTTATCATCTCCTCCAAACCCAGGTGTCCAATTTTGGTCATTCTTAAGATTTTAAGTGTCAGACTCAGCTACTTTAGTATTCTTAGCTACATAAAAATTCAACAGTGATTCCATTAGGGGTGACATCTTCATAATTTTATGTAAGTTGTAGCAGCAGCAAAACAGCATTAAGTCCCACAAAACATTTAGAAGCACTTTCTAAGGAAATCTTCACATTCTCTTCATAGTAAATGTAACGACCCAAATTTTTAAAATTCAAATCGCTACCAAAAGTTTCTCTAAAAATTTAGCAAGTTGACAATGCAGTTATGTGTAAAATTATGTATTTGCAGTTTACTCAAAATTAGATAGAAAATTTCAAATCTTTCATTTAACTTAATGAGCACATCCTAAAGGAATATACAACAAACTAATTTACTATGTAATACTTCTTTTATTTTTTTTATAGATATACATTGAGTAATTAAAATGTAAACAGTAGAGGCAACCACATTATCCTTAAATTAATGCAGAATTTATTTATCAACTATTTGATGTATATTATATATGTTTCACCAAAAGCAATTCCTTGAAATTTAACAGGAAAAGCAACTTGCTAAAGGAAAATCCCTATTTTATTCTCCGTGTCAGTGCCTATCTATGCAATAGCCAGAAAATCAATGAATCATTTTATAACTATGTTCCACTAAAAAGTCTAAATCATTTAATTAAGTTACACGTTTATTATTCATGACAGAATATAAAAATATCATAAAATATTGATTTCAAAGGTTTAACATAACAAACTATGTGGTTCCATGTTCCGAATTCAAACATCAGGAAAAAGAAAAAGAAATTAACAAAACTAAAGTTACTGCTGGAATAAAAACTGCAGCCACATTACACCGAATTTAATTTATTTAGTCCATGAATCCATGCACAACGATAACACCTCATCGCCCGCCAGCCAATGATCCGATCTAACCTATGAGGAATAGGGAAAATGGTGAGTATATGAGAATATTCAATAGCACACGAGTAACTGTGCAATCCCGAATAAAAGTTTTAAATCATGCGTAAAAATATCATATCGTCATATTAAACTGGTAAGAGCTCATAATATATTATATGTTTGGTACCGGGTAGCCATTTCATATCATATTATAACTTTCATTAGCATATTATTTATCAACATGAAAAAATAAATTAATCGGGTCAAACTACTTGTGCCTCATAATCATACCTTAAATCTTTGAAAACCTTGACTTGATGTTCACCAAATTGTAGACTTTCGTGCCTCTTAAAATCTCCCCAGAGCCTTTTAAGAAGAATTTATTTGCTTTTTTTACCTCTGTAAAGTATAAGAGTACTAAAGGAAAGAAGGGAAGGAGATACATATATAAAGATTGGAAACGTGTAGTTTTTTTTATTTTTTATCTGTTAGTCAGTTTACAATTTAGTGGGATAATGGGAGAAAATGGGATAGAGATATTTGACCTTTTGTTGAATAAAATCACAAGCGCCATATTGGTTTCGCTTATCCGAATTAACTTTTTTTCTCGAGCTTAATATGCATGATTATACGCTATGGTACTTCGCCGGACCAGGCGTGGCTCGCTATGTCCTCTTCACTGTCGGTTACACCTGGTTTTGCTCCCTTTCTATAATCATCCTCGTACCCGCCGACATATGGACCGTACGTTGTTTGATAATGTTATTATGGTTGTGTTTTTATTCGATGCTTTGTAGGATCTGTTTTTGATCACTTGTGTTTTTATGGTGCATTTTGTTGTGGTGTTTTGGATTATGATTTGCGCCGAATACGCCTGCTGATCTTCACTTTTAGTTTTTTTTTTTATAATTGGAATAGTATTGTGGATTGATATGTTCTTTGGCTGCTGAAAATCGTTGCTTTTGAAAAAAGATGATTTCTTTAAGAACAACTATTTTGTGTTCAAATTTTGATGGATTACCGAGCTGTGTGTTTGAAGACTATACGGTTTAGATTTCGGATTCTTATTTCGTTAAACAAAACTGAATGGTTGCCCTTTGATTAAATTTTAAGGCACATATAAATATTAAATAATCAGTTGACATTTGATCATTTGGGGGTACAACACGCCTTTCTGGATGAAAATAAGGTACAATTTAGCCTAATATAGTCTTGTGTGAGCTAAACTAGTTTAACCAACTGACCTCTAACTAAAACTAGATCCTAATGTACATTTCTGGTGATTGAAAACAGTACTGGTTTTACTGTGGAAATAGCAAACATACACGCGTAATTTCTTTTATACGACATTGTATGAAGTTATTTCTTCTAACATTCGTTTTTATATTGGTCCACATAATTAGTAATATTTTGGTAAAATTAAGGGAAAGGGTTTTATTATTGACATTTCAAAATTCTGAAAATCGATATCCTTGAAGAGTTGTAGCACTAAACTCTACTATTTAATTAATGAATTTAATTTTTTTGTAAACCTTGAAACATGGCTCTTTGTGATAATCCAAAAATATTTAGAAATCTTTGGCACGTAGACTGAATTCAAGAAAAAAATATCTATTTAATTACAGAACTATCTTTGCTGTGAATAATACTTTATGACTGTATCCACAGTTTCCAATACTTAAAGATAGAAGCCAGACAAATTTCTCAAGTAGACTTATAATATATATTGCTGTGACATTCTCTTCATTTATGACTCCTTTATGCTCTGTGATGTGAGTTACTGTTTGGCTCATTAATTCGATATAAACAGGACTCATATCATTCTTTAATTTCTGAAAATTCAACTCATGGGAAATGTCATTATGTCACTACATCCATCATTGTTTGATTTGATCTAACAAAATATCGTTGAAACCTTTTGCACTTCACACAGACAGTTGTTAATCATTACAAAGGAGGAATCTCTTTCTTCTGGAGCTGGTCATATTGGAGTACATTTTTACTTACTTGGTATGCTGTCAACTCTTTTGGTACTTTTGCAGGCCTAATTTTTCCAATATGTCTTGCATAGCAGTTAGCATGCACCAAATTTTCTTGGTGTGTTATTGCCTCTACAGTTTTTGATCTGTGGTTTAGCAATGTACATAAGGAGTCTTTACAGATTAAATATGGCTCTTTTAAGTTTGTAATCCTCACAGTAGTCAGTAGACATCATTTCTGCGATCATTCTTGTTACGATTTCTCTTAAATATCTGAACAAAAATATTAACTTTTGCATGTTGTTTTTCGGTTGTCATTCTAATCTCTTTATCACATCTATCATTTATAATTAGAGCTAAAAAATGAATATATGATATATTAATATGTTACAAAATCTTTATGGGTTTGATGCTGAATTGGGCAATTAGTAGCCAAAAAACCTGATGCAATAACTTATATTTTTGGGATTTTATATGCTTCTGGATGTTGGTTTAGTTGACTTTGGAACCCTGGTGTTTGAGGTAATCTTGTAACTGCTTGGATTAAATAACCACGTATACTGGTATATTTCTCGAAGCAGGGTTGTGGTGCCTATACTTCAGGGTTATGAAGATGCTGGGGATTTCACTGTTACTGCAAGATTGAAGACTAGCGCTCATGTAAACCTAATCTACTACTTTTGTGTTGGTTCTATTGCACTCTGTGGACTTGTTCTACTCATCTTTCTGCGCAAGAACTGGTTTGTTTCTTTCTCACCTAAACATTTTGGTCTCTGATGTAAATTTTATCATCTCGTCCAAACCCAGGTGTCCAATTTTGGTCATTCTTAAGATTTTAAGTGTCAGACTCAGCTACTTTAGTACTCTTAGCTATGTAAAAATTCAACAGTGATTCCATTAGGGGTGACATCTTCATATTTTTATGTAAGTTGTAGCAGCAGTTAAACAGCATTAAGTCCCATAAAACATTTAGAAGCCCTTTCTAAGGAAATCTTCACATTCTCTTCATAGTAAATGTAACGACCTAAATTTTTAAAATTCAAATCGCTACCAAAAGTTTCCTTAAAAATTTAGCAAGTTGACAATGAACAAAATCTTCATTTAACTTAAACAAGCACATCCCTAAAGGAATATACAACAAAATAATTTACTATGTAATACTTCTTCTTTTTTTTTTTTTTTACAGATATACATTGAGTAATTAAAATGTAAACAGTAGAGGCAACCACATTATCCTTAAATTAATGCAAAATTCATATATCAACTATTTGATGTATATTATATATGTTTCACCAAAAGCAATTCCTTGAAATTTAACAGGAAAAAAAACTTGCTAAAGGAAAATCCCTATTTTATTCTCTGCGTCAGTGCCTATCCATGCAATGATTAAACTTATCCCTAAAGGTAAAATCTCTCAACCTCAATAACTTGGGCTTCGCTTAGCCAAATTAACTTTTTTTTCTCGAGCCTAATATGCATGATTAAATACGAGGTACCAATGACCCCAAAATCAATATATAAAACCCGCTTTATCAAAAATCTAATTATTTAACCTATATATATATATATATATATATATAT